CAATTAAGTGGAAAATAACTAAATAAAAGGAATAAGATTATGAGTTAAAAAAAACTTTATTAATATTATTTTCTTAACTTTATGTTATTATATCACATCATATATGTCATTGATTATAATAATGATATTGATTTACTCCTTTTTGTGTGTATAATAATGATAATAAGGATCCACTCTAATCTCCATACGTTCACTTCAACTTTCACCGCTGTTACACTCTTAAGTCTTAAATTAGAGTTTATGGGTGAAAATATAAAAGGAAAAAAATGTGAAATATATATATATATATATATATATATATATAACAAAGAAATAAAATGAATGTAAATATATGTATTCAATTAATACGTTTAAATTCCTGTTACCGTTAGGAAGAGACTCTATGTCTTGACTTGTCTGCTGTTTTAGTTTTCATTCTTTACAAAAAAAAATTAATACGTTGAGATGTTGATTGTAATACCTATTTTTTTTATTATTATTTATTAATGACATTTTTGCATTTTTATTAAAGTTTGAGGGGTAAATAGGTAACTTGGAACGGGCCGTTCCAAGCAATAAAAAGATACTAAATTTTAAGTTGGGAACGGGCCCAGAACGGGCCGTTCCAACTAGGAGAACAGTCCGTTCTGATTTTAGAACGGGCCATTCTGGAGGGAGAACGGGCCGTTCTGGAAGGAGAACGGGCCGTTCTGGATGAGTCCTGGAACGGGCCGTTCTGGTTTCAGAACGGGCCGTTCTGGTTTCAGAACGGGCCGCTCCAGTTCTAAAACTTACGTAGATTTTTCGGGCCCAGAACGGGCATTCCGCTTTTTGGAACGGGTCGTTCCGGGTTAGGCAGGACAAAACTCTATAAATAGGGAGTTGGGGGTGTTGGAAAAGGTGGATTTTGGTAGAAGGTCCTAGAGAGAGAAAGAAAGAGAGAGGAGGGGAAAGAAAAGAGGAGAGAGAGGAAGAGAAATCCAGAGAAGGAGGTTCTGCCAGGGGAAAGAAGAGAGAAGGGAGAGGGGGAGGTTCTGCCCTAGTTTCGATTTCTGCTTTTCCAAGTAAGGGTAGTACTTATAAGACGTAATCTAGTATGTATGAGCATGATAGGGGTAATATAACTTTTAATATGCTATTTTATTTATATGAAGATTGTCATGTGTTTAAGTTGATGGTTATTTTAGGTGTTTAATTATTTAATTATTATATTGAATGATTTGGCATGGTTATGGAAAAGTTTGTATGTAATTATGGAATATGCTATATGTGTGTGGTTTGGAAAGCTAATAGAACTTAGAGGAGTAAGGTTAGGGTATGGATTAGATCTCTTGGTGAGATCAGGATATAATCTTTGGAAAAATATGGAATTTGGGAATCCCATGGTGAGGATTCCAATATGGAACTTTTCCAAAGGTTATATGATAAACCACTTCAGATGTTAGGTGGATTCTGAAGTACTCCTCTAAGTATTCTATTTGCTACCGGTATGGGTCTAGGCCGAGTCATACCGATGGATGAGGTGGCCTCACCAGGGTTACGTGACGACGTAATCCAACTGTATATTTTCCATGAGAGGTTAGGCGTGAGACATGGGTTGATGACATGTTTCACCGTATCAACACTTGGTTTGGATGTGTTGAGGCCAACATTTGGTTTGGATGTGTTGGTTACATCATGGATTATACAGTGGTGTGACTTTGTTTTGGATGTGGAATATGTATACATATGGTATGGATTGTATACATTGGTTATGGATTCTTTATTATCATAAAATATGTATGCGTTGGCATGGATGTGTATACATTATATTTTGGATTAGTCTATATTTAGCTTGGAAATGACTTGTTGGTCTGGATAAATACTGTGGATAAATACTGTGGATAAATATCTGATTAATGATATTTTATTATGATGTACTATGATTGGTTTTATATGTGCTAACCCTTATATTTCCATGATGGACTGTGATGATCTCACGATGTGGGGGAGCAGATCAGGTATGAGGCCTTGGGATAATAAGGAGTCTTTTGGATAACTGCTTTAAGAAGTGGTTAGGTTTAGAGCTTGACCAGCACCTAGGGTGTCTTATTTTGATGTCTTCATGACGTTGTAATTATATTACCTTTTTGTATTACTGTATAACCTTACTGAGGATAATGACTTTATTATAAAAATATGTTATATATTTTGGAAACAAATTTATATATTATTGTATATTTACATTCTAGCGTAGCTGGCCCTTGCTCTATTTTCTTTATTCTATATTATATTATTTTGTTTGGTTTTAGATGTGACGGCCTAGGATGAGTCGTTACATTGATAGTCAATAAAATTGGTTCATTTAATAAGATTATTGATATGAAAGCTTAATTTGTGAGTGAGTAATACATAGAGACGTCTAAATACTCTTTGAACCTTGAGTATTATACCATTTTAATGAATCTAATTGTGTTTGGTATATAGGAGAAAGAAGTGGAGGGAAATGAAAAGAAAAAAAAGTGTAAGAAAGTATAAAGAAATAGAATAAAAAATAAAAAAATTATTTGCTAAAGAAGAAATAGATATAGAAAATAAAATAAAATATTAATTTTTATAAATAATTTTTCAAATAATAATAATAATAATAGTATTATTATTATTATTAAAGGTGATAACTAAGGGTGCATGGTGGGCCACTTTTGGTACTAGTCCACATAGAATTCATCTAATAATAATAATCTTGACATAATATTTTACCATGTAACATCCCTCATCTAAGTCACTCCCTCACCCAAAATTAGCAGACTATCACTTATCGTAGCTGCAATGAGATCGTGGAGTATTATTAATCTACATATTAGATTAATCTGATGGTGCAGAGCAGCAACAAAGTGCGAAGTCTGAAAGGTGAACCATATTAATCTACATATTAGATTAATCTGATGCAACATTTGATCCACCAAAAATTTTATTTTTTAAAAAATTTGATGTTAATAATGTTAATTTTTTTTTTATTTGATTTGTTACTTAAAAATAATATTTTTAGAAAATATTGTTTTTCAAAAATAATTTTTGTATAAAATTTTATAAAATTATTCTCATGTATGAGAGATGTGGAAAATTAACTTTTTCAAGATAAAAATAAATTTTTAGTATATTAAAAAATTTATATATATTATTTTCATTTACTTATTTAATTCAATAAAAATTATTAATTTTTATATAATATTTAAAAATATTCTCAAAAATATTTATGGTCAATCAATCAAATTTTATGTTTTTTTAGGAATCATAATTCACAAACATAAAAAATTTATTATGTACCAAACTTTTGGCTAAAAGGACGAATATTATAGTCTTCCATACACCACATATAATATTAGTGCAGTGCGGCCTACATCTTATTATATTATTATTGGAAGTTAAATTTTTATAAATAATTTTATTTAAAAAATATTAAATATAATTTATTTTATTGCTATATTTATTATATATATAAAGAGAAATTTATTTATTATAAGAATAAATATATCTAGACTAACTTCACTCAATAACTCATAATATTAAATTTTAAAATCTAAATTAAAATTTTTTAATGTATAAATTAAGTCTTTAAATTTAAAAAAAAAATAAAAACAAAATTATTTGATATTCTATTTAATTAATTTAAGTTAATATATAATCATAAAAATATTTTATACATTAATTTAAATGATGAATGGAGTATCAAATATTTTTTTTTTAAATTTACAGACTTGATTTATATATATTAAAAACTCTTAATTTATCGATTTAATCGTTAAAATTTAATATAGAATTTGAGTTATTAAGTGAAGAAAATAGATCTCTCCTATATATATATTGTCCTATCTTTACAAAAATTATAAATTTCACAC